TTTTTTTTTTTTTTTATTTGCACAATAGAAATTTTGTACAATAAACACTTTTAGACTTCATGTAAGTCTTTTAAAAGCTTGTCTTAATTGTCTAAATAATATTAAACTAGTACTACCTTTATAATATTAAGGAGAAAGAATGAAGACAGATTTACTTCAAAGTAAAAAGGCCTTATTAATTTATCTGTGCGAACAGAAGTATGGAGAAGGATTGTCACGATGGAGTTTTCCATCGGTTTCAACGCGCACTGGATGAAGAAGAAGGTTTAAAGTGACAGAGCTGGAATTAACTGAATATTCGGCGCTTGCAGACCCTAGCCGGAGCAAAACGAAAAATAGTTGTTTCTCGGAAAATGGCTCGAATCTCACAATGAACGTATCGGGAAAATCTGAAATTCACTCCTAACTTTGTGAAGTTAGGAGTTCTTTGTGAGGTTAAGAGTTCTTTGTGAGGTTAAGAGTTCTTTGTGATGTTAGGAGTTCTTTGTGAAGTTAAGAGTTCTTTGTGAGGTTAGGAGTTCTTTGTGAAGTTAGGAGTCAGGAATGAAGCAGATTGTGATCTACGTCTGAGATACATTCCTAACCTCACGATATGTGTTAAGAGACTTGCGTTTTTTAAGTTCCCCGCTTCAAAAACGAGTGTGACACAGGTTTACAATCCGTAAGAGGAGTCGTTCCACTCAAACCTTGCGCTCTAGGATGCTACGCAAAACTCAACGTGCCCAACGCAATCTCACCCAAACACACGTGACGAGACGGAATTTTCTCAATCAGCGTGTTTATATTTGCATTTACCTTAATCGTGTTCATAGAGACCACAGTGCTTCCTCACAATATGCGCGCGGAAGCGTCAGCCATGTTGAATATCGTTCAGCATCCTAGTGCGCAAGGGCTGGATGGAACAACTCCTGCTCTTACATAACGTTCACCTCCTGTACTGCCGTGCAACGCAAAAAAGCCGTAAACGCCATTTTACATTTTTCGAAAATAATGTATCGTAGCAGAAAAACTAGTGCACCTTGGGACGATTTTTAACAGAATTCCTTCGCAAGTACTATTAAGAACTTAACCTGCAAATGTGCGGTGCATGGATAAAACAGTTTTTATTTTATAAAGTGTTAAGTTCCAAAAAACGCGGGGAAAATCTTGATGGATTTACGGCGACCTTGCTTAGCACGGCAGTTTAGTGTAGTATCGTTCTTGCAGCGGGAAGCTTAGGAGGTAACTTTTATGCAGATTCTGAAGTTAGGAGTGTATTTCAGATTTTCACGATGCGCTCATCTTGATTTTTAAGCCATTTTTGTAAGATGCAGCCATTTTTCGTTTTTGCTGCAGCTGAAGTTTGCAACAGGCTCATTATTTACCCGAAACCTTTGTACAAGCTTCCTGCTTTAGACCGTGTAACTGCCCTATAAAAATTCACTATAAAAATATGACTCGCAAGAAGCACCTCGGGTTATGCAGGCATTGCAAATAGCATAATGAAATCGAACTGAACAATATTGATTATCGAGAGGGCGCATTCTTCGGCCAGACCCGAGAGAAAGGAAATTAACCACTCTGTGCAGGATCTCATTCACGGGCTCGAGAGCCGTGGATTTAATTACACCGCGATGTTAATTAAATCGACAAGTAATTAAACGTATTTCTGCCCAACCGAACTATGTGCATTATGACGTGAGCCCCGCAATGCATATATTCTCACGGGTCTCAGGGCTCATGTCTTAATGCACATAGTTCCGTTTGACAGAAATACGTCCAATTATCGTCATGCTTGCTATCCCTTCGCTGAAGAGCGAGGTGCATTTCTCAAGAGTTGAGGAAGGAAAGTATAGACTCGGAAAAGAATCTTGGATTGAACTTGAGATTTGAAGCGTATTGCGTTGATCATTTTGCGCTTTGTGAGTTCTGAGGTTTATTTAATAAATAGGTATCTCAGCATTTTATTCATTTCAGTAGTATACACGCATTTTATATTGTTTCTTCGGCAGCGTCTGCCGTTCTCTTTGCTATTGTTGATGGAAAAAATCAATAAAAAATAAATTTCAAGTAACCGGGAAAGTCCGAATACGTATTGAAATTAAGAAGGAAAACCTTAATTAATAAATGGGTAGCATAATGTAACAAAAGTTTATGAGAGGAAGTATTTGTTTCATGTACTGCTTAAGGAAGAAAAAAACCTTTTTAGAGTAAGTCAGAAGTGAGGAAGAAGGAGGGGGAAGGAACGAAGAAAACTTATAGGAGAAATATACCTTATACGAGTCCATACGATATGGACGCTGGGTCCATACTCTTCGTATTAATATTTTTCCTTACTAAAATGGACTCTATTTCTACTTTTAGGTCGGTGTCTTATTTTTTACAGTCTCCAATCATTCTGCCATTTTTCTATGGCTCCAACCCATACTTTATGAAGCGTGAGTATGCGTACATTTTTTTCAGTGTGATTGTTGAAATTGATTGACAAAGCAATAGGCAAGGAAGACATAGGGCGTATGGAGCCATCCTATTGGTTGAAATGGGTGGTTCTTTTAGACTGAGGGGGTATAAATGTTGGACTAACTATAGGGTCTCTCGTGGGTTGCTGTCAGTCAGTCTATGTCCTACCTCCTTCGTGCATTGCAACCAGCCGCTTACATTATTGGGATCCCTTCATGTCCCATTTTTGTCCTCTTAGTCTGTAGCTTTGTCTATCAATTTCAACAATCAGCCTGCTAATTTGACTAAGTCAGAAATGGATCTCGTAGTGTGCGTGGTGCGCATGCGTTGTAGCACCCTTTAAAAACTATATCCTTCACAACCCTCTTCCTGGATTATATGGCCATATGTGTTTTCAGGGTTCATTTAAAACCAATCCGAGCATTATCGGATCTCGAAGGTTTGACCAATTCCTCCGGCTGAGCCATGTCTACACCTGAAAATTCCTGAAAATTTATGTGTTTCCGTAATTGTTACAGGCACGGGCAAGAATGACAGGAATGCTGTTTCTGAAATGGCCGAAAAGCGGAGAGAAGATTAAGGCTTCATGAGCAACAACGACACTTTCAACTTATCGTTGCGACTCGCTCGGACCTCGTCGTTTTCGCATTAGAACCTCCGTTTAACGATGACGCAAGGTGAGCACACATCATTTAGTAGCCCAACTCGTAATATTTACCAACAAAAAAAAACAAGTTGGTAGAGCCAACACAAGCTGTTGAAATTGCGTGTTTTACTGCTGAAACATTTGAGATAGTAGCACAGTACTTGGCAGGGTAATTAAGCTCGTGGATAATCCAACACATTTGGACGTATTTCTGTCAAACGGAACTATGTGCATTATGACGTGAGCCCTATTGTGCATATATCCTTATTGGCCTCAGGGCTCATGTCTTAATGCACATAGTTCCGTTTGGTAGAAATACGTTCATTTATTAGACCACGTATGGCAATGGGCCTGTTGCAAACTGTAGCTAGAGTCCACGCTAAATTTTACGCACTTCTAGACTGTGACGGAAGATCCGCCGCACAGTGGATCGAGTCTATAGGAGAGGTCGGGCAAAATTTGGAAACCTAAAACGCTTACAACTCCGTTTCTGCAAAAATTTGAGATTCCAAAAGTGGCTCCATCGGTTTCCTCGTGAACTTTTCTTCTAGAATCACCCCGTGTTCAAAATGTGACGAAATAAACTCCAAAATTCTCAGTTTTACTTCATGTCCGAATTCACTAATTGACTCGATCCACTGTGCGCCGTCTTGTTTCTAGCATTTTCTTTACATGTGAAAGTGACGTCAAACGATCATCTGTCGCAGTCAAGAAGATCGTTAACTGATGTGGCGTGGACTCCAGAGCAAATAGAAGATTTATTACATGTATAGCAAACTGCGCAAAAATGGCTCAGAAAGTTGCAAGTTAATTGAAATGTTTAACTCCGTGAGCCCAAATAATCGCGCCAAACGCAGTGCGGTTAGTGCGAGATTCATATTAGCGCCTACAAGACTGCAGAAATACTTCACGCATTGCGCCAAACAGTGCGGGCAGCAAGCGTTGCACATTAGCGCCTACCAGACTCAATGAATACTTCACGCATTGCGTCAAACACAGTGCGATCGAGTCAATGGTCAATAATGTATACATAAAATAATATAATCAGTAATATTTAAGTGCTGTACATACAAAACAGCACTTATATATACTAAATTAACAGATGAAAAGAAGATATTTAACAGTTATTAGCAATAGAGAAGGAGAGGTAGAATAATATATACACAAAATGGACCAAATTTGGAAACTTAAAGCCCATAACTCCGTTTATACAAACTTTGAGGTTCCCAAAGTGGTTCCATCGGTTTCCTCCTGAACTTGTCTTCTAGAATCACCCCTTGAAATTTAAATGTGACAAAATAAACACAAAAATTCTCAGTTTTAGTAAACAATTTCATGTCCGACCTCACTAATTGACCCGGTTTCTTTTTGCGCCGTCTTGCTTTTAGCATTCTCTTCACATGTGATAGTGACATCAGACGTTAACCGTAGTCTGCCTGAGTGGGGTCAGATTGACCCCACGGGAGTTTCAACTCTTTGCCATTTCTCGTGGTATGCGCGAAATTTTTTGTCCTTCACAAATTGCTCTACAAAAACATCTAGAAACACGATTTTGAAGGGAAAAAAGAAAAAAGAAAAAAAAAAAAAAAAAATTGTGCATGAGAGATCAAAAAATTCACGAGTACCCCTGGAAAGCCCGAGCGGGGTCAAATGTCTTTATAACATATATTTGACCATTTAGCATCACAAAAGCTTACTTTGAAGGTGTATTCATTTTTCTATTTCTAATTTTTTCCAGAAACTTATGTAACAAGCAAAATTTTTCAGATTTTTTTCGTTTTCAGTATTTAGTAGCCCTATGATTTTTTTTTCTCATGCTGAGAACAACATGGCAACATGTGTATGATAAAATGGTTGCATACCCTGCGCCGTGTTTTCTAAAACTTAGATATGCTTTATGGTTAAGGCCTGTAAGGTTAGTGCACTGATACTAACTAAAAACATGAAAAAAACATAGCTAACTAATTGATTTTCAGCTGGGGTCAAATTGACCCCGCTCGGTCTTTCTCGTTGGTTCAGAGGCTCAGGCAGACTAAGGTTAACTGATGTGGCGTGGACTCTAGAGCAAATATAAGAGTTATTACATATATAGCAAATGGCTAAAAAATTATACGATCAGGGAATCGGGAAATTCTGAAATACACTCCTCACTTCAGAATCCGCGTAAAAAGTATGCGCTTTTTAAGCCTCCTCCAAAAACGATACTACGGCACAGGTAAAAATTTCGTAAACGGAGCCTCTCTATCTATAATCCAACCGTTGCCCATTGGAATACGACGCAATATTCAACATGACCGATGCCAACCTGCTGAAACACACGTGACAGGACGGGATTTTACCAACCGGCAATGGAATTTAATAGGACAAATTTTCACACACACACACACACCCTCACACACACACACACACACACACACACACATATATATATATATATATATATTACGCAAAAATAAATACTACGTAAATAAATACTACGCAATATTCAACAAGACCGATGCCAACCTGCTGAAACACACGTGACAGGACGGGATTTTACCGACCGGCAATGGAATTTAATAGGACAAATTTTCAATTCTACTTCGCAATATTCGGAAACGAGGCTCTTATCTCGAAACCCAAGAGAGCGCAAGCTTGTCTTGGTGTTCATTATCACCTGCCGATAGCCACATAAATCTTGAAAATCGGCTAGGTAGATCTTATGAACTGGCTTTCAAAACATCTGACCGTTTGGGAAGTCCAAGACCTTATATATCTGATAAAAATAGTATATTTTTTACGATATCTTTGTCCAGTATACCCCCGTGCCGAAGAAAAACTCTGTATGAACCCTCAGGCGTTGTCACATCTCCAACATAAAATGAAAGCAACTGGAAAATCGTGAATATTTTCTTCGAGTTCTTTAACCGCATTTGCTTGCAATTTAATTTGAACATAATTTGAACGTTTCAGAGAGAACCATGCATATATTTTCTCAAGATGAATATTTGGATCTCATTTTTAAAAAAGGAACCAAGGCTATGATCATCTAAACAAGTTTTATCATTACGCCCAGTAAACTATGAATTCAAGAAGCAAATTACCTTTGTAAATTTAATTTTTTGTACAAATTTAAAAATTTTATAGCAGAACATGTAAGTTGCACAATTCCAGCAACATTGGAATCCTCCTTGTTCCTTTTTGCAAAACGCAATCCATTTAGCGGGGTAGATTTGGCAATGTTCAGAGGCTCACGCGGCTCTCCTCCTTGACACGGCAAAATAGGTGACTAAAAGTCTCCGGTAGCGTGCAAAAATACGCAGAATCACTACAGCCAGGGTTGCCAAAGTCAGGAAAACCCGGGAAATGTAACGGACTTTTAAAAAGTCACCTGGAAATGTCAGGGGAAATGACGGAAGTGCCGGGGAAAAATTGTTAATTCACCTGTATTAGCTTTCTGGAATGGATTGGACGTCCCATACAGCAAATATTGCCTGATAACTATCTCTTATTATGTCTTGTTCACTATCTGATGCATCTGTCGCAGGCAATTAGACAAATCAGGCATTTTATCTAATTCCCAGGCAGATAGTCAAATTTTAACAGTTTACCAAAATTTTCAAATTTATGGCGAAGAGCTCACCGTTTATCAATATTTTAGTAAAAATAACTCGTTAAATCTACAAACTCTTCTCCTTTCTTTCTCCTCACTAGATGTTCATATATTTGGACTTCAAAATTTTAAAAAAGTCTATATTTTATAATCTGCTGAAAAGCTCAAGATAAATGGTTGTTCATGAGCTAAAAATTGATTGAATTACTATTGTATGTTGCATATTTTTACAGAGAATTCCTTCTTACAGCAGGAATGAAGTATTTTGTCTAAAATTAGGAAAAAAATCAGACTTTCAATTCGAATTGGAATATTTTTGACTATTTGCCCAGGCATTTGGCAATTTCACTATTGCCTGCGACTTATCTACAATTGTCAGGGAATTTCACCATTTGTTAGGGAAAACAGGGAAATGTCTTGGAATTTCATTTTCTAGATTCACTGGAAAAAAACACACATCAGATCTAGAGTCCAGACTCTTGAAAACATCGACAAGAAAAAATACTCTTGATTCAATCAGATTTAAGCATAAATCAAGAACCTAGCTTCTTAATTTGAGCGGATTTCCTTTTGATTTAAGCTTAAATTTAATTGAATCAAGAGTCCTTTCTCTTGTCAATGTTTCCAAGATTCTGGACTCTAGATCCAATGTGTTTTTTTCCAGTGCTCGATAGCAACCCTGAGAAGAGGTGACTGAAATTCTCTTGTAGCGTGCAAAAAGACGCAGAATCGCCACCCGGACGGCAACGGGGAGTTTTATTACAACGCTCATCGATTCAACGAGATAGGAGACCGAGCCGGAGGCACTAAAAGTGACAAAAGAATATATTAAAATCCCCTCTCGTCCCCAGGAAAAAAGACCAGCTAGGCGTAATCACGGAACCACCTTCCGCTTGGAAATTTCGCGCACGTACCAGGCTCGCTCCCTGTCTTCGCGTCCGGATTATTTTCCAGCCTCGGCGGCGCAAAAAAAAATATGTAACGTTGTTGCGAAAAAATTCCTGGCTTTTCCTTCTTTTCTCTTTTTTTATGAGCGCGAAAGTTTGAAGGGAACTCATCCGGTAACCAGATCTCCGACGAGGCCGAGACTGCCCGCCCGGCCGCAAGGTATTTTCCTCACGGCTGATGAGTTTTAAGCCCTTTACTGCCGTCCTAAGGAAGAACGCCGTATGAGCTTTACAATGTTGCCAAATTTACTCTCAGAAAATATCTTGTTCTGAAGAAAGTTATGAATATTTTTTCTTGAAAATTTCAGACTTTTTAGATCGAACTTTAAACGGAATCCTCCGAAAAATCGGAGGAGAAATATTCACAACTTTTCCTAAAAACTCGTTGTTTTTCGAAAGAAATTTGGCAACGCCTCATGGCTCTTACGGCGTTCTTCCTGTACGCGCGCCCGTCTTTTTGTCCCCGAGAAGCTGCTAAGTTGTCGTTGAGTT